AGAATTTGCTTAGGGCCCCCAAATCACTAAGTCCACCCCTGGGTGAAGCTCGATTTTTTTTTTCTTCTAAAAATCGTATGTTTTCGTACAAATCACAGCATGTGAATTTTTGAACTTGTATAAAGTAGTGACGTTTTATTATGTTATTGGGTTGAAAAACCTGCTGCATTTTATCGTCAATCAAATTACTAAATCTAAATGACCTAAAATTGTGAATTAATAATAATAATTAAAAAATAACTTTTAAAATATATGTATTTATTTATTTCTATTACTATTATTTATTATAGTTTATCAAGGGTTGAAATCAAACTGGCTGTAACCGACCATATCACATTTTTTCTAACAAAAGGACTCAAGCTAATATAACATAGAAGATAACATACGATAACTAAGGGCTTTTTCCAATGTCAAAGGCTGTAAAATACGACAGATTAGATATTTCATGAAAGATTTTTATCATATAGGAGTGAAAGGTCACATCCACGCATTCAACACAGGCGTTTACTGTAATTATGGTGCTAATTTTGCGATAAGCAAGTCACAATTCCAGGATGACTTTAGCTTTTGACCAATCAGATCAAAGTCTACTGATGTCACTGAACGGCTCCTGCAATAAAGGGGCTGAAAAGATGTGATGTCACAGAAAACAGCCGGAAACAGTAAAAGGCCATGTGCGCTGTTTTTAGTCTGTTTACAACCAACCTTGGAAGTAGATCTTAAAAATTGGTGACGCAATTAATCTGCAGCAGTGCTTTGAGCAAAAGTGAATTATGACATTTTACAAAATATTTCAAATTTGCGACTCAGAAAGGCTGAAGGAAACTTCAAAGAATGTTTTTTTCCATATCGGCGGATCTTCAGAAATCATTTAACAGCAGACAACAAGGGTTTAAAAGCCTGTTAAAAGCTCAACAAATATCATAGTGTATTCTTTATTGACTGCGCTCAGGTGGAACTATCGGTCTCATCTGCCACAAAGCGGACTTCCTCTGCAAACAAGTACACACACTCACTTAAATTCGATATGGCCTAATGCAGCATGGGCCGCAGCACATTTAAAACATCCTTTTTTTTTTAGTTGCTTTTAACAGGTGATGTGCTTTAACGACATTCTAGTGGCATCAGGGACGATGTCATGCCGCTTTTGGTCCAGTAATGACTTGTTTATCAAGAAAAACACATAATTATTCTGTGACACAATAATGGATCATAGCACTTACAAGTTTCCAAGTGCACAGCAATACGTCAGAAACATAAAAAGACACCTGCAATTCTTAAATTAAAAATTCTCAAATTATTGATTGATTTGAAATATCTCAGAGCCTAAACACTGGAAGAGTCTTTGCTGGAGTTTTTGATTGGTTTGAGAGGATGTGGGTTATCAGTTATAAAACTGGAGACATGTTTATCCAAGATAAGGGCCATTTTGATGATAAGTATCTGGGGTTTAATGCATCAAAAGCGTAGCTTACATAAATCCGGGTTTGGCCTTCTACATCCTAAAACGTCAAAACAAATTACTGTGGAGAGTTCACTTGTTCACAAACATTGCAGATTGCAGGAAAAAGTATGTGAACTGCTAGTGTGTGTTCAATAAAGACCTACATAAAAATACACAAAAAGAAAACATACATTGTTTGCATGTTTTTTAAGCAACAGATGAAATGTAATTAATTAATTTATGTAGAAAACCGTTATCATTATCATCATGACATTTTCTATATACAATTGAAAAAAACAACAACATAATTATTATTGTTTTTATTTAAATAATAATAAGTTATTGTTTCCTTATATTTAAATAAATAATATGAATAATAATAATAATAATAATTATAATCGGTATATTTGGGATTGTATATAGAAAGCAACAATAGTTAATAATTCTTCTTATTGTTGATATTTATTATTGATATTTAAATAATAATAATATTAATTTCTAATTATATGACTCATAATAATAGCTTTATTTTGGATTGTATATAGACAGCAACAGCAACAACAACAATAATAACTTGTTTTTTTTACTAATAATAATGATTACTATCATTATAATTATTACTAATATTAACAATTATTTTATTATAACAGGTCCGTGGATGATGCGGTGAACATGGGACTGCACTATATCCTGCAGGATCTGGACAAACCAGGGACTTCTGTGAGGATCCTGTTTGTGGACTTCAGTTCGGCCTTTAATACAATCATCCCAGCACTCCTCCAGACCAAACTAACCCAGCTCTCTGTTCCTAGCTCTATCTGTCAGTGAATCACCAGGTTTCTGACAGATAGGCAACAGCTAGTGAGAATTGGTAAATTCACATCAAACAGCTGCACCGTCAGCACTGGCGCTCCTCAGGGGTGTGTTCTCTCCCCACTGCTCTTCTCCCTGTACACCAACGACTGCACCTCTACTGACCCCTCTGTCAAGCTCCTGAAGTTTGCAGATGACACTACAGTCATCGGCCTCATCCAGGATGATGATGATGAGTCTGCATATAGAAGAGAGGTTGAGCAGCTGGCTGTCTGGTGCAGTCTTAGCAACCTGGAGCTCAACACGCTCAAAACAGTGGAGATGATAGTGGACTTCAGGAGAAACCCACCAGCACTCTCCCCGCTCACCATCATGAACAGCACTGTGGCTGCAGTGGACACATTCAGGTTCCTGGGCACCACCATCTCTCAGGACCTGAAGTGGGACAATCACATTGACTCTATTGTGAAAAAGGCCAAACCTTCGCCAGCTGAGGAAGTTCAACCTGCCACAGGAGCTGCTCACACAGTTCTACTCAGGCGTGATTGAGTCCTGTGCACTTCAATAACTGTCTGGTTTGGCTCAGCTACAAAATCAGATATTAGAAGACTAGAGGACGGTTCGGACTGCTGAAAGGATTATTGGTGCTCCCCTGCCCACCCTTCAAGAACTGTATACATTCAGAGTGAGGAAAATGGCTAATACTATAATACTAATAAACTATACTATACTATTCTAATAATACTACTACTATTAATAATAATCTATTCGTAACCCAAGTACGAGGTTTAAAAAAAGTCAAGAAAGTGGAGATGAATAGAAAGAGATGCTGAAGGCAAAACAGGTGTCTATTTTTAGCATAAAGCCAGATTACTACTCCAGACCTGTATAGCAGCGCCACCTGCTGCCCAAGCAGTGACGCCAAACATAACATATAAACATCATAGCCCCGTTAAATATCGTCATTTAATCAGCTTCAACACTTTTTAGAAAGCTTAAAATGCTTTGAATTACAAGCAGGAAGCTCCATCCAGAGTTTCCTCAATACCAGCTTTTACAGTTCGGTGTTTTTCGTGTTCTTCACAGCTCTGTAAATATGAATGTCCCTTTGAGAGTCATAATGGACCTCTTGCACAGAGAACCTTCGGCGTAGCTCCATGAGGAAGCGCTCGTCTCGCTCGTAACGAATCCGACAGGACAACAACACCACCGTGGTCTCCGAGCTCAGGTGTTCAAGAGTCTGCAGGAGGGCGGGAAACGTCTCCTCCAGGTAAACAATGTCGGCTCCCAGGATCAAATCAAAGCTGCCTGTGGGATACAGATGTAGATTCTCACCCCAGGTAAGTTCAGATACCCGTACCACCCCCTGCTGGCTGGGAGGAATGTTTTCACGCACATTGGCAGCCAGAAATTCCAATGCAGGCTCTCGGTCTGTAATTGTCACATTGGCTCCTGCAAGAATGAAGTATTACTGACTAAAATAATTCAGAAAAAAAAAAATGTTTCAGGCAAAGTATTCATTCTTACCAAGCAGAGCAGCTACAATGCTCACCAAACCTGTGCCAGCTCCAAGCTCAATAACCCTTTTTCCTTTCAGATCCACCTTTCCCATCTCCAGGAACATGCAGAGCACTACTGCCTAGAAAATAAACAAGGATGGACTATTAATTTATGATGACTGGAAAAGGTACACACTTGTAAGCAAATCCTGCGGGATTCAAACCTACAGCCTTTTTCCCCCCAGTCGTTTTTAACCCAATAAGTGCAGATGATGAACCTGAACTTACTGCGTCCCAGACCACAGCAGCGACACCCAATCGGTTCCAGTCCTGGCTGAGTCTGATCCTGTGATTGGCCAGATGAAATTCAGCTGAAGTTTGGTCAAGTTTTGACAGCGCAGGCAGTAAATTCTCATCATAGGGCACCAAAGCCATCTTGAGCTGGTAAAATGCCTGACAAGACCAAAAAATATAGAGGACTCAGCGATCTGTCGTTCGTCCGTTTTTACTGCTGTCAGTCGTGACTCACCTGCGCCATCTGATGTTTGGGCGTGTAACTGCTAGTGGTGTTTCATGAAGGAATACGCCAAGATGCTCAAACTCTTATTTTCGTTCTCTGAAAAAACATGGGAAAAAAAACATAAGAAAAGAAAAGGAAGAGAGAAGAAAAGCCCAGTGAGGATGTGGTCACAATTAAGGAAGTGACTTTGACACAATTATTTCTGCTGATTATCTGTGTTGCTACAGTCAGGCTTGTTTTTTAACCTTCTGCATCATGGACCCGATTGAGATCGCTTTCGCACATTCGCATCAGTCAATATTTTTTCCCCCATGCTTTTTATTTTATATTGAGTTATTGTTACTTTGGGTTCTAATCTGCCATTTTCTGTCCGTCTGACTGTAATTTTCAGAAGAAATTACTCACTATTTAGATTATTTAAAATTTTGATTTTGAGTTCAATAAATGTAAGTTGGTCTACATTGTATTAATTTTGACAGTTGCTGTAATAATATGGTCTTTGTGTCATGTGACAACTCTTCAGAGGAAAAAAAACGTGTGTGATAAATACTGCATTCTTGTAGGCTATATTTAATTGCATGAGCTCAGTATGTGTGAGTGCTTAGTTTATGGGTGAAGGACTGCTTTTCAGCTAATGTGAACCTCACATTTGACTTTTCTGTGAAACAAAGTAGAGGATATATCAACCAAAGAGGTCTATAATACCTGGAGAAAGGTCATCTCAATGGCAGATGAAGAATGTAAACACCATGTGACTGATCCTTCTGGACCCAAGCATTTAAATGTAATATGCAGATGCAGATAAATGTAATTGTGCTGATATTCTCATAGACTGTAACATGTGACGTGTTAGAGTTTGAGGAACAAACATTCAGCCGTTTATAGCAGTGTGCAGACTGAAGGAGAAGTTCTCACAGACAGAAAAGTTAATCCATTAGACTCAGTATATACAGTTTTAAGATACTGAAAGCATCAGATTTTTATTTTTTTTATTTTTTTTAGTATGTTAATGATACATTTCTGTTGTGGCTTTTCAGATCTGTGGAGTGTTTTTATCTTGTACTGTTGAAAAAATGTTTCACACATTAATTTTCTTCTGTTTGTGGCATCTGGTTGGTAAGTTAAACGTTTTTATGGCTTCAGGTTTAGTTCATTGTTGTTTCATCTTGTTGTCTTGGTGTATTTTGTACAGATGGAGTGAAGATTGTGTCAGTGACAGAAGGAGATTCGGTAACTCTACACAGTGATGTTATCGAGGTACGACGTTATATGCGTCATATAGAATGGAGGAGGTTGGGACCAGAAAATACTCCCATAGCTATCGGCATCCATCAGCGTAATGAGATGACATATATTAGATATTATTATGATGAGAGATTCAGAGACAGACTACAGATGGACAATCAAACTGGATCCCTGACCATCAGGCACATCAGAACCACAGACTCTGGACTTTATCAAATGAACAGTCGATTCTCAAGCGAATTATTCAATGTTACTGTCTATGGTGAGTAAGTGAATATTATGTACCCTGTCAAGTCATTTAAACTCTCTTATATATTTCAATATGTTCAAATGATATTAGCCACAGATACTGTTGATAGGGCTTTAAATTAATTTATTCTTCCCTCTATATTTCACCTTATTCTCTCATGTTTTCCAGTTCGTCTTCCCATTCCTGTCATCACCAGAGACTATGCATGTTCTTCATCATCAGGATCATCACAGCAGAACTGTTCATTGGTGTGTTCAGTGGTGAATGTGGGTCATGTGACTCTCTCCTGGTACAAAGGAAACAGTTTATTGTCCAGCATCAGTGTGTCTGATCTCAACAACAATCTCTCTCTAAATCTGGAGATCGAGTGTCTGGATGAATCCTACAGCTGTGTATTGAACAATCCCATCAGCAATCAAACTAAACCTCTCAACAGCACTGAACTCTGTCAACCATGTCCAGGTATGACAGTTGTGATATTAACGAACATTTATGGAAAACAAACCACAAATAAATGTATTTCTGTTCAGATGTTGTTTTTTGTCATTATGTACAGTGGGGAAAATATTTATTTGATCCCCTGCTGATTTTAAGGTTTTAAATACAATTTTGAATATACAAATAAGAAATGTTGGGGGGAAAATACATACTTTTCACTGGGTCATTGTAAACGGTCACTGGGTTCGTCAGACTGGAACATTTTTTTGCAGTAATGAGACCGAAAATATTCAAGACCTATCGAATCTGAATTTAAGACATTTTAAGACTTTTTAAGGACCCGCGGCCACCCTGTGCTAAGGGTACAGGACGACTTCACTGCATTGAGGGGCAAATGGACTGTAAAATCTTGGACGAGAACCTCCTTCCCTCAGCCAGAACACTGAAGATGGGTCATGGATGGGTCTTCCAGCATGACAATGACTAGAAACATACCGCCAAGGCAACAAAGGAGTGGCTCAAGAAGAAGCACATTAAGGTCATGAAGTGGCCTAGCCAGTCTCCAGACCTCGATCCCATGGAAAATCTGTGGAGGGAGCTGAAATTTCGAGTTGCCAAATGACAGCAAAGAAACCTCAAGGATTTAGAGAGGATCTGTAAAGAGGAGTGGATCAAAATCCTTCCTGAGATGTGTGCAAACCTGGTGACCAGCTACAAAAAAACGACTTACCTCTGTGCTTGCCAACAAGGGTTTCTGCACCAAGTACTAAGTCATGTTTTGCTTGGGGATCAAATACTTATTTTACTCACTGAAATGCAAATCAATTTCTAACCTTTATATAATGTTTTTTTTTTCCTGTATTTTTTGGTTGATATTCTGTCTTTATATGTTAAAATAAACCTACCATAAAAATTACAGACCATTTTTTGGCTGATATTCTGTCTCTATACATTAAAATAAACCTACCATAAAAATTACAGACCCTTCATTTCTTTGTAAGTGGGCAAACTTACAAAATCAGCAGGGGATCAAATAAATATTTTCCCCACTGTAGGTGCAGGTTTTCAATAAAATCTATTTTTCTGTCCTCAGACCGCATCCACTGTTGCCATTTCACCGAAGCTGTGATTCGATTGGTCATCTCTGCTGTGGTGGGCGTGGCTACTATTGCCATAATGGTTTATGACATCAGATCCAGAAGAGATGAAAAGAAACTGACATCACAATCAGTCCTCGAATAAAGAACCTTGGATGAATAGTTCTTTAGTTCTAGTCAAAAGTCATGGAAACTCATTGGACAAAAAGAGCGGTAACCCTGCAAGATGCTAATGATAAAATTTTTGCACAGAAATTTGTGTGGTTTCTTTTTTCATATACAGAATATTGCTTTGCATATTTCACTTCTTCAAAGACACTTGAAATCAAAAGCATGAGTTTAAAGATTCTTCTTTGTTTAATCTGCTTGTCATTCAATCAGGACTGAATGGAGTCAGTTTGAACTGAACATCAGAAACTGAAGGTTGTTTGTAGATTGTTGAAGGGTTTAATTTTATATGTTCAAATGCTAATACAACAACTACATATAAAGAATCTATTGGTTGTAATTCTTACCAGTCAACTTCCATTTTTGATAACGAAGGACAATTATTATTTTTTATTTTTTTGTTGGTAATCAACATTGTCACATTACCCAAAGTATTCCTTTAATAATTAATGACAAAATAATTAAAATTTTAAACTGATTGTAAAAACTGAGTTCCCTTTCGATACTACACTCGTACTGCATCTTGCTAGATGCATATGGGAAAAAGCCTTTTTTCTTCTGAACTGAAGCCTTTTTTCATTCACGCAGTGAAACTGCACGGCCATTGGTTCGTGCAGTGTATTAAAAACGAACCAATGGCTAGGCAGCGGAGCTGCACGAGCCTATGGCGACGAAGCCTGCCAAAGCCCGCCAGAATGGGAGGGGCATCTGGCTATATAAGCGGGCGTTTGCCACAGGATTCTCAGATTTCTTTTCCTTCAGCGACGAATTTACGTCTTCAAGCTGATCCGAAGCCGATCGCCGATAACACGCCTTCGCAGCTGGAATCTATCTATCTATATATATATATAAAATGTGTGTGTGTATGTACAGTACACACACACACACACACACACACACATATATATATATATATATATATATACACTGAATATGCATTCAAGCCAAGTCAGAAAGTCAACTTTATTCCTAAAGCACTTTATACAATATAGATTATTTCACAGCAGCTTCACAACAGTTTCGAATTCAAATTCTGCTGTAAAGCAGCAAGTCAATAGTGTCATTATACAGCTCAAGTCAGAGCTAAAATTCATCACTTGTACATTCATATTGCATATACAGTGTATATGTGCATACACATGTATGTGTGAGTTCTGTGATTTTTAAATCATTTTCAAAGTTTTTGAATTCCTTGTTTTATTGTTGTGATTGTTTTGTTATTTTCTTTTCTTTTATGTAAAGCACTTTGAATTACCATTGTGTATGAAATGTGCTATATAAATGAACTTGCCTTGCCTATGACAAACTCATGTGCTCCACTGCACTCTGAACAAGCAAAAGACACACAAGAGTCGTGTTTTACATTTTTCACGTCTGTGTGTAGTTTAGCATGTGGCTAATTATTTTATGCTTGTGTGTAGAGTTACTAGGCAAAAATAAAATTTTTAAGAGTTAAAATAGTTTTGAATGAAGAGTTTGCTTTTGAAAGATATGTGTGATGTTTTGCATGTTGTGTGTGTGTTTTGTGGTTTTGTGTGTAGAGTTTTGAGAAATGGAGCCATAGTTTCAAAAACGGTGTGTAAGCAGTTTTAAAAAACTGTAATAACTGATTGTACCTGTTATTTGAAAAGAAAGCAGTAGCTGGCACTGTGTTAAGTCATATGTTACAGATGCTGTGCAAGGCATAGAGATAGCACACGTACGTCTGCAAGATGTCTGTTAAAGATCTCTTCATCTGGAAAGCATCTGCTGTGTACAAACATCTGATAGACATTTTTAAGATGTCAGTTTTACATACATTCTAAATCATAAACATCTTCAAGACATCTTCTAAACGTCTATTTGACATCTGATAGGAAACAACTCAGAGACGTATTGCAGATGAGCAAACTCTAAAAAAAATACATCTTGCAGATGTCAAATAGACGTCTCAGTGATGTATGTGTGCTGAGAACCAGAATCATATTCTTTTAGTTTAATTATAACTTAGATACTGCTTCTTTACATAGCCTATAGTTAATTTGTTAGTATTTGAGCATATAAAATGATTTCAAGAAAACCCTTCAACAATCTGCTGGCTTTTCCAGTCGTTTGAGGTTATTGGATAAGGATCATTTTGATTCAGACCAAACAGTGAACCGTTTGACTGATTCATTGAAAAGAATCGACTCAAAAGGACAATTCAAAGCACAATTCACTCACCAACTAAACTTCACCATGACTTGCAAGTAAGTTTTACTCCACACAAGATCAATATTTAATTTATGAGACGTCTTCCAGCAGAAAATATCTATATTCAAATTTCTTCAAGGTTGTATTAATTTCCTGTGGAGTAATTGTTAAATTCTATGTTCCCAGGTTTTTCCATGAGGGTGACCAGATTTCTCAAGGTTGAAGACGGGGGACGGACACACACACTAAATAAAATACACTCGTTTTTCTAATACAGTAGGTTTAACGTATACTTTATTTAGCCTAACATCTTTTGTTGTTTGATTAACATTAATGAGACAGACAGGTATTTAATTAGGCTGCTATACCTTTAAGACCGAATGAACGTAATATACTGACACATTCGGATTTCCCCCACCTGTTTACATTCACTTAAGCCATAACCAGGGGCGTAAATTTCATCTAACAGCTGGGTGAGACAATAAATATAAAATTTCTCAAGAGCAATTTTTGAAGGGGACACAAATACAGCTAAAATTGTACTTGTAAGGATATGCATGCACAGAGGAAAGCCTTACTAACGTTACCATTAGTGTAGCGGGAAGACTGTGCCAAGTTAGACAACGTCAAGCTGTTGTGGTCATGCAGTGACAGCACTCGTGTCCGGTGTAGACGTGCCAAGTCCGCGGTTTCCCCGTGGAATTGGGCTACTTTATCACTGTTGCCACGGGTTGTTTTTCATGTCTGCGGGTTGAAGCGACCCCAATAACGTGTATTTTAGCCCCCGGAACACGATTTTTACCGGGGGACCCCCTCAAAACACAGTTAGTTTGGGCTAGTTCGGGTTTTTTTTCATGTCTGCGGGTTGAAGCGACCCCAATAACGTGTATTTTAGCCCCCGGAACACGATTTTTACCGGGGGACCCCCTCAAAACACAGTTAGTTTGGGCTAGTTTTGGGTAGAAATTGGGCGGGTTTTGTTGTGAAAACCTGGCAACCCTTTCCATCAAGCAAGTAACTTATTATTGCTAACATAGCGACTCATTGAAAAATACATTGGCATCATCTGTATTAAAGAGAAAATAATCACTTCATCCGATGTTTAAGTGAATAAAATAGCCTTGACAGCTTTACTTACTGGAGTTTCATCATTATTGTTCTCTCTCACCAGACTTGTGTGTGGGTGATGTAAAAGAGGAAAGCAGGCATTTGGACCAGAGCACCTTGAGGCAAGGGCGGGGGAGACAATGTTTTTAAACTTAAAATGCATTTTTGCCCCGTTTGTGTTGTTTTACTACCTACACAATTATTTAAAGTATAAAACATTGTTATTTACAATACAGAGCGTGGTTTTTAAATCATATTTTGAGGGGGGACATTTGTATTTAATGTGATTACAATTTAATAAAAACGTTAGAAATGGATAAATATAACCTTTCCTTTCCACGGTTATTCAAACAGCGAATAAATTATATATAGAAAGTGACATTATCACTAACATTGATCTATCCGAGTTTAAGTACAAAAACTAAACTGTGGTTATAATCACTGAAGCTGTATACACTGTGAAATGAATCTCTTACTTACATTGTATGTACATCTGCGCCATGTTTGCATTCCTAAGCTCAACAGAATTGTGTGTGATTGGTTAAAATGCGCAACACTGTAAAAACGCCTAAAATTAAATACGGTGCAACATGAGCAGATCTTAATTTAATGCCGCAACCGACACTGTCTATTCCTATTCACTTTGATAGGAAGCTGTATACACTGTGAAATGAATCTCTTACTTACATTGTATGTACATCTGCGCCATGTTGTTTATGATGAGAGAATTCACAAGAGTCCAGAATTCAGTCAGCGAAGGCGCGCACTCAACAAAACTGATGAGTTTCAACGATGACTCCTCTGAACGCCTCTGATTGGCCATTGCATTTCTAAGCTCAACAGAATTGTGAGTGATTGGTTAAAATGCGCAACACTGTAAAAACGCCTAAAATTAAATACGGCGCAACATGAGCAGATCTTAATTTAATGCCGCAACCGACACTGTCTATTCCTATTCACTTTGATAGAAACAGACGTAATAGATTTAATTTATTTGTGCAGGGGCATTTTTGCCCCAAGTCCCTGTGGCCAGGGGAAGGCAGCCTTACACAGGCTCCGCCCATGCCTTCACTTACTACAAGTTAATCGATAACGAATTGAGATTGGATGGTAATTTTGTTCTACGACAAGCTTAGTTACCTTTGATTAGTCTGTTCTCTCGTGACAGAACACTCCTACTACTTGCTCTGATCACCCAGTCGTAAAGAAATGTTGAAATACGGGACAAAACGGGATTTTTTTCAAAATAGGTCGGGACACTAAAAATTGAGCTGAAATACGGGACTGTCCCGGGAAAAACGGGACGTCTGGTCACCCTATTCATAACCATTATTCAGGGACTGATGTCATAGCTCTTCTAGATCTGATGTCATAAACCACTATGGCAACAGTAGCCACGCCCACCACAGCAGAGATGACCAATCGAATCACAGCTTCAGTGAAACCACAGCAGTGGACTCGATCTGAAGGTAGAAAAATGCATTTTATTGAGAACCTGCATTTGACAAACATTTATTATTTTTAAAATAATATTAATATCCACATCGATGTACCTGCACATGTCTGACAGAGTCCACTGATGTCCAGATGTTTGGTCTGGTTGCTGATGGGATTGTTGAGCACACAGCTGTAGGTGTTGTTATCCTGATATTCCACCTCCAGAGGTAGAGAGAGACTGATGCTGAGATCAGACACACTGATGCTGGACAATAAACGGTTTCCTTTGTACCAGGAGAGAGTCACATGACTCACATTCACCACTGAACACAGCAATGAACAGTTCTGCTGTGATGATCCTGATGATGAGGATGAACAGTTTGAAGAGTCTCTGGTGATGACAGGAATGGGCAGACGAGCTGGAAAATATAAAACAAGACAAAATAAGAATATATTTATTAATAGATTATTATTATTATTATTATTATTATTATTATTATTATTATTACTTATTTTCAGCTTTTTGAGAAATTCAGTTTATCACAAGCTTTCAAGAAAGAAATGCATACATATTCATAAATATGTACATTCAATTGAAATACTCACCATAGACCGTAACATTGAAATAAAACGGTATGCATTTTATCATCTGTAGTTGATAAAGTCCAGAGTCTGTTGTTCTGATGTTCCTGATGGTCAGAGATCCAGTTTGACTGTCGATCTGTAGTCGGTCTCTGAATCTCGCAGCATTAAAATAATTAATAGCAGGTGCCACCTTATTAAATTGAATGACTATAAATGCTTTTTCAGGTCCAAACCTCCACTGTATGTAACGTATATTTTGTCTGGGTATATCAGTAGCATCAGTGTGTAGAGTGACAGAATCTCCCTCCATCACTGACATCTTCATTCCATCTGTATCTGAACCAAGCAAACCAAAATAGCAAGATTAAAAGAACAGTTCACCCAAAAATGTATGTTTTGTCATCATTTGCTCTGTTGCTCCACACCTGTTTGACTTTTTCATCTGTGGAAGATCTTTTGAAGACATACAGTGAAAGCTAAAGGGATCCAATACAGCACTGGAACTCACTGGCATGCATTTCTTTCACACACACAGTTTTCCACAGAACAAAATCGAACAGGTTTGGAACATGTGGGTGAGTAAATGACAGAATTTTAGTTAATCTGACTTTACTCAACCTGAAGCCATAAAAACATGTATAACTCACCAACCAGATGCCATAAACAGAAGAAAATAAGTACACAAAACATTTTTTCCAACCGTATGAGAGAATGGAGGAAGTCAAATGAAGGAACTCTTGTCTGTCAGTACAAAGAACTACTTCAGTTGTCCTTCATGTGGTTAAACGTCTGTTCCTCAATAGTCTCGTGTTGTCAGTGCCGTTGCATTCTGGTGCCTCTGTGGCCGTGACAGGGCAGACAGTGAGTTCGTGAACGGCCTCTGTGGCCGGGGGCTCCGGCGTGGCGGCCATCTTGGCCGGGGGCTCCGGCGTGGCGGCCATCTTGGCCGGGGGCTCCGGCTTAACGTGTGCAGTCTCTGAAATGGCGGCCATGTCATGACGAAACTCTGGAAGATCAGCTGAGACGTGATGAGACTCTAGAAAGGCAGCCATTTTGTGGCGAGACTCTTGTGTGGGAGCCATCTTGCGATGAAGCACTTGAATGGCGGCCATGTTATGAATAATCTCTTGAGTGATGATGTGAGCAGGCTCTTCATTTTGTTCTTGGTCGTGTATTCTGTAACGAATTAATCCACTGAAGGTGAGCGTAGTGAGAACCCAAGTGCAGTTTTATTTACAGTGATCCAAACATAAGAGGCATGAACAGACTTGACTTGACGAGGCATGAACAGACTTGACAAGGCATGAACAGACTTGACTAGGCATGAACAGATCTGACTAGGCATGAACTGATCTGACTAGGCATGAACAGACTAGACTCACCGACAGCAGGTTACAACTTCAATACACGACAAAAGACAATGGCAACATGAGGGCTACTTATAGCAGACAATAGGTCACATGACACGAACAAGCCAATGGGGAACAAGACACATGACTAAGTCTACCAACCAGAACATGACACAATGAACAGAGAAACCAATAGCATGAAGACAAGAGGGCAAGGGAAGCATGACACAAACAGGGACCATGACTAAACTCCAAAATAAAAGACATGGAAAACATGAACATGAAACCCAAACACCAAACCCCACATTACATCTGGGCCTCCCGAGTTTGAGTCCCGGCTCGCAGACCTTTCCCGATCCTGTCCCCCTCTCTCTCCCACTTCGCTTCCTGTCTGCTCTAGACTGTCCTATCATAATAAAAGCAAAAATGACGTGTAACGTTGCATGTTACAGTTTTTTAAAAATGCTTACACAGTTTTTGAAACTATGACTCCATTTCTCAAAACTCTACACACAAAACACATACAACATGCAAAACGTCACACATATCTTGCAAAAGCAAACATTTCATTCAAAACTATTTTAACTCTTCTAAAAATGTTATTTTTACAATTGTATTTTTACTTTATATTCACAAGCAGTAGTTCAAATCAGTCAACTACCATTTATGATAACGAAGGGCAATTATTATTATTATTTTTTTCAACATTGTCACAGTACCCAAAGTATTCCTTTAACAATTAATGACAAAATAATTAAAATTTTAAACTGATTGTAAATATTGAGTTGTCTCTTCTGGTCAGATTTGTTTAATTACCAGCACTCTTAAGTTATAGTCAGTTGGTTTATTGAAATTACATATCATTTTGATCAGATATTCAGAGACAGACTACAGATGGACAGTCAGACAGGATCTAATTAAATGACAGGAGAGTGTCCTTCCACTGTTTTGGAGTCAGGATGAGTCCGTTTGTTTCTCTTACGAATCCAAATTTGTCCAATAGAGGCAAATTTGACTCCAAATGACAAGTAATAATATCGCCCCTGACATTGCTTATATTCTGTTTTAATGGGGAACAGTCGCAAACAGCAGACTAGATAGATTACTTTATTTTGTTCAGCAGAACCTACAGAAAAAGGAAAAGACAGCAAGAGATAGAGGTGAAAAAGTTGCAATTGAAACGAATTCACACATGTACACTTAATAACTGACCAAAAATGTTGTTGTTTTGTTGGTATTACAGTTTTTAAAATTGCTTAGACACTAAAAGTGGTACTTAAGGCCCACTCAGTGAAACCATTCACTTATATATAACTAATCTTTAGACCAAGTCTGCAAAACTGCAAGCGCATTCAGTTTTTTGTTTTAACTCGGCTTGCTAGTAAAACAGACTTTTTGCAAAACTCTAAACACAGTTCTCTACATTACACACATCATTCAAAACTAACAACTCTTGTTTTATTTTGGAAACACTGCCATTTAAATGCCACTCATTTACTGATGACCTGCACCAAGTGATCATGTGTGAAAACACTTATACATTATTTGTTCACTTAGAAATCAAAACTCAGTGTTTTGAGAAAGAAAGC